GAACCACTCCAGCATGTACTGCTGCTCTGCAGATACTGGACAGCTGAGGAGGCAAGGAGAAAAATGTGCCACTATTAGGAAAGTACTGCGGAACTTGCCCAGCCTATTCTTCTACTTCTGACATCTGTCTATGCAGCCATTTAGGAGTTCCTGGACAATGTTTGGCATATAAAGGAATATTTCAAAAGGCACAAAGTCAAAGCCAATCCTGAGAAAGTCTGAAGGAAGATCTTGAGGGTGGCTGCCATGGTAACACCCTTCCACCATCTAATCTACAAACACTAGTGCTGTACAAAAAACAGGCTTTTATAGTCAAAGCAATAAAAAAGCAAATTAGGTCCTTTTATCTCCTCAGGGTCCTATTTGTCATTATTAAATTTTACCCTTTGCTGATGCATACTGAAATCAGTCTGCTGAAATGTTCATAGGTTGGATTATCTGTGCCTCATTCATGTTCCCTTTTGACTTCCATATAACCTTAGTTCTATATATCTCTATGGTCCATTTGCCAAAATATGGGCATATATTAAATGGAATTTTTTTCTTATTACATAATACAATTCTATGCAGAAATGTTTTGCCCTACAGAATAACACAAAGTGACCAGATTACAGATTACACTGTTATATTGTGTGCATTTACAAATATGTAGCAATGAATTCCACTATTATGTGTAATTATAATGCATTAACAAAAATATTTGTGACAAAAAAGAAAAATTATAGCTTCTACTTAGATTTGCAACAGTTATTATTACTCTGGTTTGAAGGACCTGACATGAGTATTAGAAAAATGGCTTTGTTTACAATGTACCAGTTACATAATCTGAATTTAATACAATTTCTATGAAGGAGAAAATTACTGTTTCAAGTCTAATAATTTCAAAATTTTTAAATGAATCCTAAAAGTCAAATAATTTCTTTTGGCCTATCACAGTCTTTCCTAGATTTTACTATTGGCTTTAAGCCAAATGTTCTACCAAAATTTGTCGATAGCTGAGTGCAGCCTAAGGAAATCCCATAACAGGAAATGCCTGAACTGTTTCAGTATAGAGCCACCCACCTCAGATCCCCATGGGTCTTTCCCAGTCTCATTGGCATGTTCTGTTCTTATCTCTCTGCACATGTGGGTGATTGAATATGCTTTTTTAAAGTTCACATAAGCGTGTATATCTTACGTGACCTTGCTTTCTCGCTGTGCTCTGAACTCTGTGCCATCAGTCAGTATTTATTAGCTCAAAGAGCCTGCAGCCAGGCTGTTTAATCCTTCTCAGGCTTTTCCTATCTCACAAAAATACCACACATCTGAAACCTTGTGTCCAGACTCTAAGGAGGCATTTTATTGACCATATGAAAGGCCCACACTGAATTCATAATCGTATCCAAATATAGTTCATAACACATGGAAATAGAAACAGTTCTGTACACATATTTTTGCTCTTCTGTTAAAAGGGTAATATCAGCATTTTTTTTCCCCAAGGCAACAAAAGTGCTTAGATGATAACATTCACTAAATCCAAACACTTTTACTATGTTTTGAGACTATTGTTTCGCTTACAGCTCTGCAGTCAGCAGGCATTCCAGCTGAGTTCAAAAGTCAGAAGTTTTTTGTTTTTTTTTTTCATATCCATACTTTGTAAGAATATATTATTTGAAAGAAATAAGAATTTTCTCCATGCATATAGTGGAATTTTGTAATGAATATGATATTAACAATCTGTAATAAACTACAAATAAAAATTCAAGGCAGTAAAATGTGCACGTTCTAACTCTACAGTGTAAAGTAGGAGAGGGTGGAGAGAAAGAGAAAGCCAGAGGGAGGCAATTTGGTTGACTCATGCTCATCTCTCCATATCAACCTTATTTAAAGGGATTATATATATTGTAGGAGCTGGGAACCCTGGAAATTATTGGTTTAATCTGACTCTGCACTCCCCATGTGACTGTAATTTTTATATTGCCAACTTACTCCCTAAAGAACCAAATAATGATACATATTATCTACCCACTTCACTGAGATAGGAAGATAAAATGATCTCAGGATACAAGATCTAACAAACTCTAATTCTAGAAAATGGTGGCTTCAAGGTATAGAATTGAATGGACTATTCTGAAAGACTTTTTTACAGGCATGATTAAAATTAAAAGTTCTGATGCTTAATGGGAAAATCGGAAGAAACAATGCTTCTGGAAGTCTCTGAAGAGCCCAGATAGACACATTCCTACACATTCATTAGTTGTTTGCAGCAAATATTTATGTGTAAGATATTTGCTTAGTGTCTGATGCCACTGTGTGCTCTAGGTTCTGTTAGAGCAGGAACAAGCATAACTTGGCAGATATCGAAGAAGTGATGAAGAAATGATGGACAGCACAGCTGCTGCCCTTGAGGAACTCACAAACTAATAAGACAGGGTAACCAACAGGATACCTAACAAAATAGGTAAAGTGGTAAAGGCAACACAATAGGAGATGAAAGCAGGATGAATTCATGCTTGAATTAGGAGGGCCAGCAAGGTACCTCACAGAGAAAGTAGCAATAATTTGGAATATAAGAAA